CCCCCCCAGGTGAGAATAGCTTCCACTCTGGTGTGGGCATGAGGCGAGGACTCCCCCGGACCTTTGCAGGCCGATAAAATCACCTAGGCCCTTGGTGGCTTACCGCATGTGGTTGGGAATGAATAATAATAATGTAAAAACATTTTTCGCCTCTCCAGTAAAAAAAAAGGCTCAGTACCGACACTGATCGGGATGTGGGACCGGCCGCCAGCCGGACCATTCGTTGTTTACAAACTTAACGATGGCACTTGGCAGGCCTCTCTGCACACAATACATTATGGTTCAAGGAACAGAGAGCGTGTACGAACGTAACGAGACACGAGCACGAGACTATTAAAGTTTATGCTCTTGCAGGACAGTTGAAGGGTTGTAAATTATTCAGACCAAATGGGCGAGGGCGTTAAATCGTGTTAACTAGTTTAATTATTTTATAAGCAATCCAAGCTCTTTTCTTCACTTTCATTTTAAAAAATGTTTTTTTCCTGCCTATTCTGTCCTCTTCTTCTTCAACATTCGGAATTGGGATTGGGAGCCAAAAAAAAAGAGCCAGAGAGCGAAATGAAATTCTCAGGGCCAAGCGCGATCCAAAAGAGCCAAATTTCAGGGATTTGGTTCCAATTTGACAACCCTGACTGTGACTAGATCTAGATGTATACATGTCTATTCGGACACCAACACGATCCTGCGGAGCACTAGCCCCGGTAACCTCCCTCAGCCTGATCCCTCTTGGGTCATTTCCGATAAAACAAGAGTGAGGGGGTGATAATAGTATAGCGAGACATTTATAAGGTTATTCTATAATCTCACCCATTATTGTTTTATCACTGGGAGACACTTTCTCTAAAAATACGACAATACAGTACAGTGAGAGTGAATGATTCCAAGTGAGTTCATAAATTTTTATGTTATAAATTATAGATTTAGATCTAGATCTAGAGAGTCTAGTAAAATAATGAGTCTACACAATAGGCCTACTTGTCATTACTAAAATTAGGGTATTTTTTTACTTTCCCTCCCGTCTCACACTCAGCTACCAGTTGTCTATTTTCTACTAAATTAAATATTGATGCGCAGAAC